CTTAAAAAAAAAAGTATATTCGGACTTTTCTGGAATCAAAAAATACTTTGCATAAAGAAAGTTTTAATATAAATCTACATATAAAAACCATCTGGTATTTGCATAAAAATATGTAAGTATATAATTACTCGTAAATATTTAGTATTTTAATTTATTGCCATAACATTGCTTTCCACTTACGCATGCAGCACATTTGCAAGACAAATTCAAGTACTTTGGACGAACATTTCTATAATACAGAATACAGTGCTACAGAGTTGTGTCGAAAAAAGTAAGAGGGGGTTGCACAAAGTTTAAGGAGAATCAAAGGAATCATGTCTGATTGGGATACAGTGACTGTGCTGCGCAAGAAGGCGCCCAAAGGTACTTCAGCCAAATCGGAATCTGTGGTTAATCACGCCAGACGTCAAGGAGCAGCCGTTGAAACAACACAAAAGTGTAAGTATGTGTAATGATTATTATGCCATGGATTGGAGGGGGTGACGCTGCAAAACTTGCCGAATTAACAATATACACATGTCTGTATAAAAGTATTCGTGTCAAGTCGACGTGGTGGACTAGTTCTTTACACAATGCGCGAAACACTTTTAATTTTTAAAGCACTATGTGTATGCATTTGTGTATGCAGTTTTACTTGTGGCAAAGCGTATGCATGTGCTGTCTAAAAACCCGGCGTTGAGTGTTTTTGTTTTGGTTTATTCCACTTGCCAAGTGCAATTTCACAATTTCAAATCCATTTACCTTCGGCTTTTTAATGGTTCTATGAAACTGCCCATCGATATGGCATGATAAGCTATTTAGTTAATGTTCGAGGGTGATATTTTCATCACACCATTGTAGTAGCGGTTGCCCCTAGTTAGTGATTGGAATGCGCATTAAACAATTAGATTTATTTAATGCGGAAGGCGGTTATCCAAAAACAAGAGCGCTGAATAAAACCAACATATTTTCCATTAGTGGTTGTCTTTCTTTATAATCGCATATATCTATTCGTATTCATGCATTCAAAGAGATAGAAGAAAATAATTTGTAAGCCAACTTCTAAATTTGTTCACAACCTCGAGGAAGCCAGCCAAAGATGTACATATATGAATATTTTTTAAAAGCCGTAGATACTCTTTTTACTCTTTTTACTAATGAACGCTCCTCTCTTGTATTTAGACGGTGCTGGTACCAACAAGCAACATGTAACCACAAAGAATACTGCCAAACTGGATCGTGAGACTGAAGAGCTAAAGCATGACAAAATTCCACTCGACGTTGGTAAACTGATTATGCAAGGTCGCCAGTCGAAAGGCCTCAGTCAAAAGGATCTAGCAACAGTGAGCCATAGAATGCTTAGTAACAATTTTCCATACTCATTTTTTTTCCAACCTTTAGAAAATCTGCGAGAAACAACAGGTCGTCACAGATTACGAAGCAGGCCGTGGCATTCCCAACAACTTGATTCTAGGCAAAATTGAGCGTGTGATTGGCATCAAATTACGTGGAAAAGATCGGGGCCAACCGCTACAGCCTCTCGGTAAGAAATGAATTGACACTGCGGCTGCAAGTGGCATCGCTAGTTGTAATAGAAACAAAAATCAAATCCACAAAACGCATACGGAGGCAGCGGTGAATATCAACAACATCAACGCTACTGCAAATGCAAACATAAATGCCACTAACGTTTATGCCAAAAACAACTGTTATGCTTACGCCATCAGCGGCAAACGCAAATAAAATTATCGGGAGGCTGAAAAGCTTTTTTTTTTTGTATGTTTGAAGGGAAGCGACTTCGTTGTCTAGGAGTGGTTCTTTGAATTGCATACATACATTTAAACATATTCGAAACATTTTTATTTTAAATTTTATTTTCTTTCAATTTCAATCTAATATATTCTGCTTTCAGCAGCAACAGCATAAACAACTATAGCTCCGACACAAAAGCAACAGCAAAGCAGAATTATAACTAAAGGGAAATTAAAAGCATAAAAATTAAAAACTATAAGGATATAAGATTTACATTCAAATTGAAATATTCAACAAAATATTAACACATAATAGAATGGTAATGTTAAATACATTAAATAATATATCACTTTTTACATAAAACTTCAATCATGCTCAAACATTAAATGTAGATTTAAAACTATGGTGGATATTACGATTTCATCTACAAGGTTTACACATCCGTCGTTAGATATAATATGCATGTATTTCATATTGATATAAAATATTGAAATTTAAAAGTGATCTTGAAGGCTATGAGAAAGAATTCGAATAATAAATGATATTCAAGGTCTGGAAATGATTTCTAAGAAATTCGGAAAGGTATATTGACGAGTTAGGAACTGTGCGTAACGCAACTAGGCTTTTTTTAATTCTTTCTATAAATATGTGTAGAAATGGCAATCGTTACCATTTTAGTCGTTGTTTATATTCTTAGTTTTTTTCCAAATTTTTATTGTATAATGACACATTCACTTAATATACGAGTAGAATTCACTGCCGCTTTTGATATGCAACTAGCATATTAATTTCATACGGGCAAGAGATGATTAGGAAGAAAGTAAGGAGGTTGTTTAAAATGCGAATTCTTTTGGAAAATGGTTAAATATAGCCACTCAATTTTGATCTTCCTAATATTCCAGATTATAATAATTCTGCCGACTAAAAGCTTAGGAATTTGGTAGAAAATCTACATATAATCTACTTGCCTGCAAACAATATAATTATAGTTAAAAAACTAAAAACACGCTTTTATTATAATGTGAACTAAATAGTAAAGAATATTTTATATGTAGATATAAAGATTTCGTTTAAGAAGAATAGGAAGTTACCTAACTTGATATAATTTAACTTTTTAAATTAGCTTAATATAAGATCAAAGTGATTGAGGAAAACGAAATGTTGGGTGCTTAATACCAATTGTTCTGAACTTTTCATTATCAGTGTATTAATATTGAATATTACCAATAGCATGACTAAACAAATCAGAGAAATTATACTTAATTTTATTGTCAAATCCCGTTGATCCTATTTTAAGCCACTTTAAAAAGTTAAATTGAATCAAGTTAAGGAACTTTCTATTTCTCTTTAAAGACAACTTTATTGGCCTTATTCATAAAAATTATATAGATTTAAAGAGCCTCTATAAAGTGACATTTGTTAAATTAGTTTTTACTTTTCAGTCACCTTGTAATACAAGCGTGCTTTATAGTTTTATAAACTTTATTTTTTGTCATCTTTTTCGTCTTAGAATTCTATTGTTTAGGCTACGCGGCACATCACATTCTTGCTGCGCCTAAAAATATGCAGCACTTTGTGATTTCAACTCCTATTGAAATCAATTTTCATATCACTGTCTTCAGGTATCGTTAGGAATGGAAATTGCTGCATATATTAGCAGAGAACTTAGATAGATAGAGAAGGTGCAAATTTTTGGAACGTAAAATTGTTTGGCTGAAAAATAAATCCATGGAATATCACCACAGCGCGATTAACATTTCAAGAAGAGTTAACAGAGAAAAATGTAAATTTCTGTTATGATAATGTTATATTTGTTGCAAGTGTCTAGCTATGTGTTGCTAGGTTGCATGTGAATGCAGAAACGTATTCATGTATATTTTTTTAATAAAATTAAATAAATTAATATAGTTAAATTATATTAAATGTACTTTTATATTAGTTAGAATTGCTGATTTGCATTACTGCATGACCATTTGTTAATTATAATTTATTCAGTAGTTAATGTTGCTAAAAACTTAAAAAGCATCTGTTCAAGTTCGCTTCTTGTACGAGTATTATATCATGTAAATAGTAAAAATGCATGTTGGTTAAAAAAATGATAAAATTGGTTTTTTCACATACTCACTTTAAAGATGGACGCATTAACAAAAAAATGTATAAAGCAATGTGTTTGTTAACTTCAAAATTAATTTTCGAAGATATTGGCCAGGGAATGCTTTAACTCCAAAACGTAGATTTGTTATCTAATAAATAGGTGAAAGCTATGCAAATATGCAAACTCATTGGTGATTTGCCGTCGGCATTTGGGTCGCAAAAATCGTTTTTTTTTTAACGATTCTTATTGTAGTTGCTACACTATTTTCAATGCAACAAATCCCAGTTTTCTAACTGCCTTAGTTTTTTCACAAACTCACTTTAAAGATGGACGCATTAACAAAAAAATTTATAAAGCAATGCACTTGTTAACTTCAAAGTTGTTTGTGACTTTTACTGCAATACTCGTAGATATTATTTGTAAATAATAGTTCTGGAGTCAAATGCAAATCCATTTCCCAGGCATGCGCATATGGATACTTGTAGTACATACAGATGCGATCAACTAATTAGCAACGAAATTCAAAATGATATTGTTTGCAAATTATGTTTATTTATTTATTTTTAATAATTCAATCTATAACAGAAACCACAATAATAAAAGTTTAAAAGCTTGCACAAATTGCAAAATAATAAATCAAACTTCAAAAAATTGTTATAAAAATTTCAAAATTTTTAATTAGAATATTTAGAAAATTCTCGGGTATGCAGTATTGTAGTCCATTCAATTATAGTATATGAAAGTCCAAGCTTCTAGTCGTTAAAAATTACCGTTCATTTTTTAGAATTTTTTTGTGGAGGGATGTTCGCATTTTCAACCATATAACACATGAACAAAATTTTTTTTTGTATGGGAAAAAACAGCAGTATCCCAACAAAAAAAACCTAAAAAATCAACGGTAATTTTTAACAACTTGAAACTTGCACTTTCTTATTATATAATTGAATGGACTACAATACTGCATACCCGATTTTTTTTTAAATATTCTAATTAAAAATTTTTGTGACCATTTCTTCAAGTTCAATTCGTTTTTTTGCAATTTGTGCAAACTTTTAAACTTTTATTATTGTGGTTTTTGTTACAGATTGAATTATATTTTAAATGAAAATCATTAAAAATAAATAAACATAATTTGCAACAATATCATATTGAATTTCGTTGCTAATTAGTTGATCGCATCTGAATGTATGCATGTACATATGTACTTACATACATGTGTACATATGTACCCCATACACATACTCCAAAATCATTTATTGATAACGTTCTTGCACCTGCACATAATATTACATATATGTAAGTACATACTAACTTTCTTCTTATTTGGGGCTGACAAACTTTAACTTAAGAGTCGATTTTATTTCGTCTACTAATATGCCCCAATAGTTTTGGAGTCAAATGAAAATGCATTTCCCACGCATACATATATGTATCTATATGTACATGCTCCATTAATTGACAACGTTTTTGCATGCATATATAAGTACATCCATACATACGTGCATATTGCTGTCTAAGTACTACGCACATATATGCAAATGTACATATATGTACATATATGTACAACTCACGGCAGCATACATACACACATACATAATTACGCGCATATTCAAATACAAAAATAACTATTTCATTCCTAAACGCATGCGCATATTTCTCAAGGCCAAGTAAATTCATTCATAAAAACAACCGCAGCACATCTCCCCGCAAATTCATCACCCTCAAGCGCAACTTTGTCAATCCGACACAAAAATTCTAAAATCTTAAAATGAAGAAATCTCGGCCAGCCAAGTGAAAAGTGGCAATTATTTCTCTATAACCAGTAAAATAAGTTATCTCGAATCTTGGCAAATTTGGTAATTTTTGACAAAACACTCTATTTCTCTGTTCCATACCAATATTTCAATCATTAACTAACATTAATTTTTTTTTAATAAAATCAAAACTTCTAAAATCACAAACATATGTGGTTTTATCGGAAGTTCACAGATGTAACGTGGCAACTTAGCTCGTTTTCACATTTTTCGGTCCGAAATTGTAAAATTTTTGTCCATGACGCGCCACGATTTTTGTACAGGTGGGTCAATGTGCCTTGAACACCATTTACATATATACAAAAAAATTATTTTATTTATTTTTTAATATTAAAAATTTCTATACTTCAAAGCGTTTATAAAAGTATATTTACATATATGCGCGGACGATTTTTAATATTTTTCATCCGTAAGCAAATCTTCAGTACCATAAAAGATTCAAACACATCAAAGTACAAGCAATGCAATGTCCAAGCTAGTGCTACTCCACTGTACATGTGTATATGAATGTATGCATGTATGCGTGTAAAAAATGTCAATTCCCGTTGGTTTTTAACACATTTTAGCGGACATAGTTTTTTTGGTTTCAGCTGATTCCAACTGTTAATGAAGCACAATTTTTATGGTTAATCTTGATGAAAGTTACATGTATCGTCGAGAACATGGTTACATGCAGAATTTTAAATTAATTAATATTCTTCTCCATATAAAATGTACGAGTATGGCTTTATTAAATGTAAACTTATGCGAAAACCTAAATATTTCGACAACCAAGGGTTAATTTTGGTGGCGTCGTGGCAATTCGCAGAAATTTAATAATTTGTCTGTGGTTGGTGGACGGCGAGGGGAAGACGAAAGCAGAACAATCGTACACATTTATGCACATATTTACATTTATAAATGCACACATATATATGCGTTTGTCTTCTTGGACGAATGAAAAATTTCATATATGTAGTGATTTAGAGATTGCCGTTTCAGTAATGTGCCGTGGCGTGTACGCTAGAGGCGATGCAAATTTTTGGCGTCTCGCCGTTTGTCTTGGTTCAAATCCCGGACGGACCAAGTAATCAATTTTTTTTTTTTTTTTTTTTAATTGTCATATCCATATTCCATTTTAAATTTTACTATTAGCTTTGTTTAAAATAATATATGTAAATGGATATGTAGGTACAAACGCATGCATAATTTCACATAATCGCTCAAATTTGCCAAAAGCGACTGAAAGCTTTATTGTAAATGTTTTCACTAAAATATTAGTTATTGGAATTAAAATTTTATGCGAATCCAATTTTCCAATATGTTCATGCCACAAAAATTATTTCATAAGTAGGTAATTTTAAACACACATACATATGTATGAATACTGGCAATCAAAAGTGAGTGCATGCTGTTTTTTGTTTAATAATTGCAATGTCTTTTAAGTTAAATTTTTTTTGTTATTTTCGACGGGTTTTGCGGTTTTATGCATATAACAAGTGCAATATAAAAAATAGCGCTAATTTTTTTTTAAATTTGTTTGCAAACGGTCATGCGCATTTTATTCTACAAGAAATTCCCTTTTATTTGGTAAAAAGTGCAAAAAACCCTCAGCAATAAATAATCATTAAAAATCAACCGGAGTTTAGCCGCTTAAAATTTGATCTTGTTCCACTAGAATTAAAAAACCGATCTATCTGCGTACTCAAAATTTTTCTAATAATTCAGATTAAACAGGTCAAAATTTAGACGAGAATTCGTTGAATTTTTCTATGTTCTGTGTAAAGTTTGAAAGTTGGACTTATGTAGTTTTAATTAAAGCATGAACCACATTTTTATAAAAAGATAATAAAAAAAAATTTTATTGAAAATCATTGCAAATGTTAAGCAAAAAACACCATGCACTCACTTTTGATTGCCAGTCTATGTATGCATGTTCATATGTGTGTAAACTTTATGCCAAACTATCATTATTTTAAATTGTATTTGCATCTTCATAAAAGGGGAACAAGATAAAAAATTAAAAAAAAATTACAAATTAATGAAAATTATGTGAAGATTTACCATATTTTCGTTTATTTGCTCGCAAAGAACATCACATTTCATGTTGCTCAACATTGTATTATGTTATCAACATTAAATTCAACGGAATTTTTACATTCCGACTTGAACTTTTCTAACGCTGTTAATTTTTCGTCCGCGAATAGTTTCCACTTTCAGTTTGCACCTTCTCTATCTATCTAAGTTCTCTGATATTAGGCACTACATAGTTGCGGTCCAAGTTAATAACAGCGTGGTAAAAAATAAATATTAACGTAACAAAGTGTCCAAGAATACAAATTTAAAAAAATTAAATTCTCTCCTCAATACACATTCTGTCCTTGCACTAAAGAGTTCATTTCATGCACAACATCGCGCATTCGAATCCCGGAAATAGCCAACAATAACCACAAAATTAATCGTAGACTCTTCCTTGTACCTTTATATGGTCAATATGCATTCAAATACTAATTTACTGAAATGCATATGTATGTACGTGTATGTAAGAATTCAATGCATATATACTTACGTAATGAGCAATATTACAAAAAAAAAACAATAGATGTTTTATGGTTTAAATTTAAAAAATAAATGAAAATTTAATGAAAAATATTTATTTATGTCGATTTTATTTGTGTACGTGCTGTATGATGTTAAAATGACGAACGGTTTGTTAAGCAACGCTTTCGAGTATTCAGATCCAGTATAAAAAATGTTCGAACAAAACTGTACAGTGTAAGTTGTTATCTGGTGCTGAGAAATCTGGCTTTCAACTCGAAAGCAAAAGAACCTCGTTGTCTCTGAACAAAACGTACCGTTCTTTCTCCATTGTTGTACTATGTTGGAATAAATTAGGTTTGCTCGATGAGCGCATTGAAAGTGTAGAATAAAATCTGACAATTAGCCCAAGAAATGACATGTGCTTAGTGCGAAAAAAAACCCTCGACGAACGCTTTTCCTACACTAAGGTACTCTGGATACAACAAACAGGCCTATTGTTAATCAATTCGTGGCTGTCTGCGAAAATATCGATCTTTGTTCTTTGTGAAGATCGTAAGCCACATAAACATTTCTATTCGAAAAGATTTCCCCTTTCACTCCATAAAAATAGGGATTCCGAAACATTTAGTAATAAACGCCTTTTCAATACTTTCACGAAGAAAACTTGCTGGGTACGTTTTTAGTTTTCTCAGCCTCAGGACATCCACTAAAGCAAGTTCTTTAATTCAAAAATATATCCATATAACGGTGAAACGTTACAGATCACGTTTAAGACCTCCCCTGTACAAGATAAGAACTTTTCTCCCATCTGATTGTTGTTGGGAGAGCAACTGCGAAAAGTTCGAAACGCTTTTGAGTTGTTAACTCAACTTCAATTTTAGTTCAGGTCTAGGACGATGAATCCGCTTTAACTGAACTTACTAAATATGAGCTTATACTAGTATAAAACTGTCCAACCGTGGTTACTCAACACGAGCAAGCGACAAAGAGGATGTCTGCCAGATCAACTTTGCCGAATACACGACTAGTTATGAGAGTCAGTTTTTTTGTAAGGGGCGTTAAAGTTTTAACATTTTGTCCTCAGACCTCTGCAGTAGAATTTAATGGTGATTTTTTTTTTAAAGATTTTAACCCTCTAACTCCTACTTAAATGGGCATGTTTGGCCCGTTCTGAAAACAAGGTTGTTGTAAAGGCACATAGAGGGTTTGAACGTTGCACGATTATTTTAAGGTTGCACAATTTGCAGGTTGTTCCACGACAGTCGGGTCTTCGTAACCGGAACGACCCAGATTTATATCTGGCCAATGCCTGTCACTACACCAAAAGCACGCTAGGTGCAGGTTCAAGCTAATGTTCACATATTTGGCATATATACACTGCGAACACCTACACTTATGAGCATTAGAGGGGATCGATTTGTTTGGAACTTAATTTTTAAACCTTCTGTACTGCATAGGGCGAAAAAAAAAAATATTTATAAAAATTTGGTATTTCTGGCAACACTGCTGCCGCTGAGAAAACGTTACATTTTGTATCATGTCTATCTAATCAGGGCGATTCTGAACAGAAATTCCCCGGAAGTTTTCTCTCTTTTCTGTTTCCTCCTATCATGAACAAAAATTTCCTGAGGATTTTTTATATTAAATGGCGGAGTTAAGCTCCCAATAAAGTGTCAAACAGCTTTTTCGAAGTTCGAATTTCCCCCTCCCAAGTTTTCGGGAAAATGCTACTCCCTGGGAGTTAATTATTGGAGGATTTCTTTCTCGGGAGAAACAAACTCCCGGGAGAATTAGGAATTGTCATCTCTAATTTTATTTTGAATTTTTGTCACACAGAATTTGAACAGCAATTGAGAAAGAGCAGAAACGGATGAACCATGATACAATAATTTTTATACCCGAGCGCACTTGTGCACAAGGGTATATTAATTTTGTTCACATAACGGTTGTTTGTAACAGCCAAAACGAATCGAGATAGATATAGACAAATGTATACATAAATGATCAGGATAAAAAAAGAAATCGATTAAACCATGTCTGTCTGTCCGTCCGTCTGTCCGTCTGTCCGTGTACACGATAACTCGAGCAAAAATTGAGATATCTCAACGAAATTTGGTATGTAGGTTTCCCTTAATCCAAGGTAGGTTGCTATTGAAAATGGGCGAAATCGGACTGTAACCACGCCCACTTCCCATATAACGGTAATTTCCAGAAATACGAAAACTGCGATATTTTAGTAACTACTGAAAATAAATCACTCAAAATTGGTATTTACAATAATTTTTTGACAAAAAATAATAATATTATACATTTTTGGAAAATGGGCGTAGCCACGCCCACTTATGGTTACATGTGTATATCTTGGTAACCGCTGTACCAATTTCTACCAAACTTGGCACAGTTGTCGGCCTTCGTACAGCATACAAAATCGCCTAAAATTTTTAAAATCGGACGATAACCACGCCCACATCCCATATAACGGTAATTTAGAGAAATACAAAATCTTCGATAAATCAGTAAATATTGAAGCTAATTTATTCAAAATTGATGGTTGCAACAATTCTTTACCAAGAAATACGTTTGTGATAAATTTTTGGAAAATGGGCGTGGCACCGCCCACTTATGATCACATATATGTATCTCAGTAACCGTTCTACCAATTTGTACCAAACTCGGTGTGGTTATTGCGCTTGCCACATATAACGGCCGCTTCTCATATAACGGTAAATTTCAGAACTGCTTGAAACTTCAAAATTTCGAAATCTAAGGACTCTAATTTACTCAAAATTGATACGCCCCGGCTTACCATATAGCCGTAGCTTTCGGTAAGGCGAAAAACATATATTTAATACGTGTGCCGGGTATTTAATGTTCGGCTCTGCCCGAACTTAGGCTTTCTTACTTGTTAGAAGGTAGTTTCACTTCATGGTGGAATATTACAAGGTGTTGGATATTGACAGCGTTCTCGCTCTAATCCGCCATCTTGGCTCCCTTAGCTATATCGGTGTTTCCCTCTTGAAAAAACTACATTTTATCGCCTTTAAAAAAGTACTAAACTACCTCATTCCCTATTCCAAAACTGATTTGCAATCACTGAACAATTCTTTGACATTTACTCTATTCTTATCGTTGGCAACTGAAAATTAAATTAGAAATTTCAACATTAATTCGGCAAAAAAACATCGGTTTAGAGTAGAGAGATTTGTAGTTATTTTGGTCGGTGCTTCCGTCCGCTGCAATTCCGTCTGTGGTTCACTGCCACTGGCCTTGCTTTTTCAACGATATAACTGTTTTCTTGGTAAGTTTAGATGGAAGATTTAAACAAGAACTACGTATTTAACTATGCATCTATTCCCCAGTGATTTTTGCTGCTGCAATCCCGTCTGTGGTTCACTGCCACTGGCCCTGCTTTTCCAACGATATAACTGTTTTTTTGGTAACTTCTACCGCTAAGACTTTGTTGCTTTTTCCCTTTTCCCTAAAAACATAATAGTGCTACAAAGCTCAATAACAATATGGAAACAAATGTTAATAAGCCACAATAATATTGACAATAAATAAGATTTCACTACGATTGAATTTTCTATTAGTAACAGGGTAGTTATAGTGAATGTTTTATTCGATAACTAAAACTATATTTGATGTTTGTAGCGATAAAAATATGCCTAAATCAGCCAAATACCCTATGTGGGTCGGCTGAATCAGTAAAACGTGACAGTAGTTGACTTTTGAGGTTAATATATCGGTCTTGAGTTGGTAAGGTTTTTAAAACATCCGCAGCTTCCTTTAAAGCATCGCTGCTAATTGCTGAGAGGACCAGATTATATTTACCGACATAAGATGTGGTCTTGTACGACTGAAAGATGGCCTTAATTTGTAGAAACCATTTGTCTGGCATCTCAGTTCAGAACGGTCGCAGCTTGCATTGCGATGCAAGCTCCACATCTTTAGTTGGCATTTTGTTCGATGAAATATTCTCCCCATCCGTCGATGCGCCCTTTTGTCGATTCCGTCATGTAACGACTCGGGGTCACCACTAATTTTTTGGTTTTGGAAGTTTGACTATAATTATAGGACATTGTGTTTAATAAACTAAATTACCATTTATTGCATAAGTACTACGTTATATATACTACTTTCGCGAATTTAGCTTATCATAATATACCGTTTGTAACTATTTATATGCAAAATTTTATATGAAAAATAGTACCAAATTTCGAACTACATCGCAAAGCGGGCTTTTTTTCTTCCCGTTTCTCTCGTGCTTCCATATTACAACCTTTTGTAAGGGAGCTGTCGACATGAGCTGTCACTACGTACAACACCTTGTATAATTCCACCATGGTTTCACTTCAAAATTTTTGACATAAACCGTGTCTGTGACAAACACGCAATGTGGCCACTGCTACGATATAGAACTTGGGGATTATCGCTTGTTATTTTAGATATTTTTTAACAGAACATGTAAAGATTTATATGTTTCATAACTGATCACTTAATTTTTAATATAAATATACGTATTTTATACATACATTTTTGCCACTGCTAACCACATGAATAAAAATCATAAAAATGAAAATATAACAGCAATATTTCTTGTTTATAATGGATTAGATCCATCGCACACCACGGACTTTATCGGCCGCCAATTTAGATGTGCTCGCTAGTCTTTCCATTGCACCACAACTTATTGGTCAGAGCGATTAAGCTGGGCATGAATCACGTAACTTTGAAACGATAGTCGTTCAAACGATACTGACAAAACGATGTTGTCAAAACACTGATTTATGCATTTGTGTTGCTGTTACGTGTTACTGTTACTGTTACGTGAAGCAAAACTGTAATCGAGTTGACGATATCGCACAAACGATCAAACAATTTTTGATTTTTATGAAGCAAGACAATCTCGACACGATGAAGAAAATTATTACAAAATATTCGAAAATTTCTCTACTTATATGTTTGGCTTTTCTTTGTTTTATTTTTCCAACGTCAAAAGCTGGATTTTTTTTTTTGAAAAAGTTGGTACAACAAAAAATACGAAACACGTTTTCTGTCAGATAGCTAACATGGCGGATAAGAAGAAGAAGTGAAACTACCTTCTAAAAATTATTGTATCATGGGATGAACTTGTAATTTCCTTTCAATTTTATATATGGGTCATTCCATACAAAATTTATATCACAATGTTTTTTTGGTGGTGGTTTTTTTTCCTTTTTTTTTGAAAAAAAAGAAGACACCCATGATTCAATAATAAAAGTTTTGCTGAGAAAATAGTTTTCTCGCTCCCTCTTGACAAAATCGGCTCCCTTTATGTGAGGTCGTGTCAAAACTCTAATGTCACTAGTGAGCAAACCTTTTTTATTGAATCATGGAAGACACCTACTATTTTATTTCATCATGATATTCGAAAATCTCGGAAAAAAATCCGAAATTTTGAACTCGCACAGAGGTATTTTTTCCAATTTTTTGCAGTTAATAAACCATTTGTCGGAGAAAATTGGTTAAGTAATCAAAATAAATAATTTTTTTCTATTAAGAAATTGCATTTTTTAATATTTTTAACATCTTTTTTCATTACTTATAAACCGGTTGACCTGTCCGCACTTGGCGCAAAGATTTTTGTCCACGGGGCAAACCGACAAATGGTCGAAGTGCCAAATAAGAAGAAAAAGAACAATAACAATGCATGCCATTAATGCAAATGCATCTTACCCAAGTATTCCACGTAGCTAATTTTAAAAACATAATTAGAAACTAATTTTTTTATACTTCTTATTGTTTTATTTCTTACATATCTCCGTTTTACATATTTCCATGTTTAAATAATTTATTTTTTTACTATTTTTTATTTAATATTTATTTCATATATAAGTTGTTTTTGTTCGCTTGTAAAAATAAGAAATAAAAATATTTGCGCTTCTTTCTCACACATTTCTTCTTTGACCGCCCTGTTGCGTCGGTTGGCTTTGTTTTTCCATTTTTGTATTTTGGTTTTGTTTTTTCCTTTTTAATGTTGTTTCAATATACATACATAAATACACAGAACCTAAACTTAAAATATTGTTCAGCGTTTTATAAAAAAGTATATAATTAATTATAATATTGTGACCCACCCACAATAAAAATAATGCGTATACATAAATTTATATAAATTAAAACGAAATCAAAATTACAGTTAGCCATACGTTGGTTTAGAAGGTTTTTTTTTAATGATGGAGCGTAAAAGTGAAAATTATAATCAATAAAAAATAGAAGAATTGAAATTGTCTTTCTAAGTTGTCGCTTTAAGCGTTGGTTAGCGTAATTTTGTCATTTGCTAATTTTAGAATTATATGCCAATTTGTCAGCACGTTTTCCATGTTTTAATTTGTGGTAACACAGCTCGGGAATTTAAAAAGGAATTAAAAGTTTTCATTAAATAAATTTCCAATAATTGCTTGGGCTAAACAAATTATAGGAATTTCAAAGCAGAGCAGGTAGAGTTATAAATTATTTTAATTAAACTTAGTAACACAAGAGCATAGCGTTTTTCAGATGCTGCACTACTCTTTTGTTGATTTACAATTTGGAAATAGCTTTATTTTGTGATAATCCTGTTTTTATATAATTACTTAATACTTCCGTCAAAATAGCTTCAATTTTATTTATTTTTTTGGGGGGAGGGGGGCGGGATGGGGCAGGTTTGGGGGGTTGCTGGTGTTAAATTGAAATCGCATATTTTCTAACTTATTGTGATGCAGTGTTTTTGAGCCTGAAAGGCAGGTGTACTTATACTTTTTTCTATTTCAGCAAAAAATTATAAGACGGATCAACAAAATTTGGACTCGTTTTTTTTCTCGCAAACGGAACCGATCTCATCTTATATGTATGTATGTAGATTTTCGATGCAGATTTCAAGGCCATTTCCCAAATTTTTCTAGCACGTCCATAATTTGAGAAAAAAAAAATCCTACTGAAGCGTCCAAAAAATCTATAAAATGAGTTCGGTCCCGTTTTTGACAAGAAACTCTTACAAATTTTGAATGTTTTGCGAATGCAAAGCTAAACTTTGTGCTTAATGAACAATAGCAATAGTTTTTTTAGCCATATAAATCGGCTCTAAAACTGAAATGCACAGTTTGTAAACGGGTACGCATAAAACTCTACTAACCTCCATATATTTTTGTTAGTTATTTTTTGTTTTTGTTTTTTTGTTTTTTCGTGATTAACTTTTTCATTCAAGCTAAATTCAGCCAGTCTGTACTTAGTAGAAAACTATATACGCAATCTTTCAATGCGCCTATGCCGAATTGACTTTGTTCTTACGAGGATTACATTCTCTACATACATACGTATATGCACTTTTACATATAACATAAGTTAGCATTTATATAAACAAATACGTATTTTTATGTATTGTAATTTACATATGTTTTCAGCGCTCAATGCGATTTTGTGTCGAAAACTTACAAGTTTTAGCACTTTTCTTTTCATTAATTTTATTAAGCTATAACCTATAATAACTAAATAAAATGCACTCACTCACAGTGCGAGTGAAAAAGAGAGCGAGCGAGTGGAAATGACAACGAAGGAGCATACATAACCATACATACATGTTTATAGAAAAATCCAATTACGTACATATTTTCGCTTGATATTTTTTTCTTAGAAAAAATAAAATAAAATTTTCGCTTTGGTTTTCATTGCTGCTTAACAAACATCATTGATTAAATTGTAAATTGGAACTTGCAGTTGTTAAATATATTTTTGTAGGATTTTCGTTTTTTATTTTTTTGGCAGCAAACAAATACATAACCTAGTATGCACATTTTAAATATACAAATTGTGGTGGCATTTAACACATACAATGCAACAGTTCTAACTTTTTTTTTTGTTTTTTCTTGTAAACATTTATGCAACGATTGCACCTCTAATATACAAAATATGTACCTAATGTGACTCGAGCAAAATTGATGGGTACACGACAGCCTCATCGTCCTAATTGAAATGAGACTATGTGGAAATTACAATTTATAAACTTTTTGTTACTTTTTTTTCTGTATACATATACATTACAAATATAGTATGTAGGATTAAAAAATTTTCAAAATCCATTCGTTATAAATTTGTTCTTGTTTTTTTTTTGTATACTTAAATAATTTAATGAATACAACAAATTTGTATTACATTCCAGGCTGTTTTGTTGAAATCATTGCGCTCCGTTTTCTCCTTCTGCTCCCGTTTCGTTGACCCGCTACTCCAACTAACTGACTACTGGCTACTGACTTTTGACTTTTGACTTATACTCTGCCCGAATTCCAATTCAAAAAAATACGTTTCAATCTTTCATTCGGCACCCGCTGGAACGCCCCACCAAAAATACAACAAAACATAGCTCCAGCACCGCCGCTGCTGCTGCTGCTGTCGCCGCTTACTGCGCTTTGGATTTGCGCAGTAACGCTGTACCGTTAAGTGCGGCAGCGCTGCCATTCGCAGCAACACTTTTGTGCTCCTCCTGTGACGATGGTGACAATTTGGCTGTATTTTGTGCTGCCAGTGATGCTGCCATGCGGCGACTCTTCTTGCCGGCTGGCGACAAGTATGTCTTGTAGAAGAAGCGCGCAAACAGCACAAAGTAGCTGAAGTACATCGCTATCGATAGATTGATATTCGTCTGTGAGATGTTGCACGATTGCCGTCCGTGTGTCTTGAGGAAACCATGGGCCCACACATTGATCGCACAGCCGACAATCATTTGTGTCAGCTGCAGTGAGGTGATGATCATGGCAATGAAGCGTGGTGGGTTGAAACGCGCTGCCTTTAGCGCATAGTATGAGTACATCACCGAGTGCACACAGTAGTTCATGACAATGAACCAGCGCGCCGATGAAGTGTATTCTGTGTAGGAGAACCAAGAGTAGATGAGCACAGTAATGTGGTGGTACCAGTGCAGGAATATGAGCGGCTGTTTTCGCAGCACAATGAAGATTGTATCACCAAGTTCGGGCAGTTTGGAGAGTACAAATAACCAGGTCCAGAATCCACAGACGCGATCTTGTTCGATGTAGCTGTGAAGAGGATATTAAAAAAAAGAGAGAAATTATTAGTAAGTGCAGCAAGTGGTTATGGGAAGTGTTAAATAGCAGTTATAGGAACAAAAATACTTTAGGGATAAACCCTAAGCGGTTGTTCTATCAAAAGAGCAGAGTTCGACAGCTTGATGCCGGAGATTTCCAACATGCAGGATCTCGATTCGAAATTCTGTAACTTATGTAGGTTCCATAAGCGGCAAGAGGGGTAGTAGCACCCTAAGACTTGCAATTTCACCTCTGTGGTGTTGACAAGCTTTGGTCAACCGTAAGAGCACTGGACCCGACGACGCGCCACGATATAGTGGAAACCTCCTTCGATGACCGTGCGTCGTCGGACCTGGGGCAATGTGTGATCTATTTTAGCCGACCCCAACGTCGTTTCACCAGAAGATTGCAGAAGCTGCCTACACCTAGTGCGCCTCTTGCTTTCAACAGCGTTGAAAGTCCCCAAAGCCTTTGGTCCTTACGGAATATGCATGCTGATACTGAAAAAATTGGGTCCAGCGGGTATAGACTACCTCATCAAGGTCCTCAATATGTCAACGGCCACTCTCATCATTTCGGTCGTGTGGAAAACGGGGCGAGTGTTCCCACCGCTAAAACCGGGGAAATCGGCCAACAAACTTTCGAAAATCGCATACCACCTGACTCCAGCGAGGCATCAGCATGGCTGCCGTGAAGTTAGCATCACAACAATACTTAACGCCATAAATAGTCAGATAACTCGTGGGCTTGGCCTAAACCACCCCTGTGAGAGAACAGTCTTAGTAACATTGGATCTTTCAAAGGCAAAGGTTTGACATCGTCAGCCAAGAAATGGAATTGATGACTTGTGCTGGGTGTTCACGTTTTCCGCGCATTCAACCGCAATTGTCAATGGAGTACATAAACACAGTGGAAAAAACTTCAGACTTGCCAAAACACGGCACTTCGGACAGCCACGCAGCAATTTTTGGTAGGACGTCACAGAACTGGGCACCCGAACAGACATCTGATAGTGACAGAGCCCTGGCCAAGGCTCGTCAGAAGTCATCTATACGAACTGACGGACGAGGTCCAGAGGTTCATAAAACAACCACTGGAGCCGACAGCTTACAGACAGGCCATAAATGGCATTCGCAGGGAGTCGGTCTCAACTTACACCAACTAACTACCGACTTGTGAATGCCCTTTTAGCAGCAAAACCACCCGATGTGGACTAGACAGAACTTCGTCTGTCACGGGAGCCTCGCACTAAGTAACTAGCACAAATCAGCTCTGGATGCAGAAGTAGGTTAAATTGTTACCTGAGCAGGATAGACCCAAATGTGCCCAACAAGTGCCCGAGAGTTAAGTATTTCACTACAACCCTCAACTTGTCAGTAGCACAGCACAATTTCCCAGGGGTATGAAAGAAAGTAGGCCGCCAGAGCAGAGTGTTTAGAGCTAGTAGGACCAAGGTTCGATTCCTGTCCGAAAAATTGGAAGAGGGGCTCGGTCAAATACTAGGCACGCATGTCAATTGTACCAAGCAAAGGGCCACCCTCTTGACAAACTTGCAGCCCACATTGGAATTATTATTGAGCAAACGCTCATCCCAAGATACCAGAGTTCACAAAGCTCAACTAGGCGGAGTGTCGCTTTTGTGAAGCGAAGAAGACCCGATAGAATGAGCTCACTGAGTGGACGACCGCCCCATGCCGGCTGCCGATTCGAAAATGTTCTATCTCAGCAAATGGTTAAAAGAGCATCCTATTTCCGAATTGGTTCGAAGAGCGCCCTAATTCAGCAAATGGTTCAAGAAAGGCCTAACTCAGCTTAAGGTATATTGAATTTATACTAAGATAGGACATCTTTTAGGCCCCAATTTACATAAAGCTGAGTTTCTTAAACCGATTCTGTTGAAGTACTCGCCCGCGATTAGCCGAACGTCCGCAGAAGCCTAATTCAGCCACTGTGTAAAGGGGTCAGGAATATTTTTTAGACTGCCGGCAAGTGTTGAGACTATGCCAAAAGTCATTGTGTTTCTGTGATAAAATAGGACTGATTACAGACTTGTACGTGGCTGAGCTGCACTATACGGCCGGCTGTGGACACATGGATTTCTCTACCGAACCAGCTACGTTCGACGTTTCTTAGAGCAAAATTTAATTGAACTCTACAAGGAGTTTAATTATGGGGATAAGTCTCAACAATATTGAAAAGGATCAACAATTTTTTTTCTAATTATCTGACAAATGTACAACTGGTTCAACAAACCTGATCGAACAACAATAAGTAGTGAATAAACGAAAAATCCAAAAATAAAGCCAAGTTACATAAATGGTCAAAGAAAAGCAATGCCAAAAAAGTTAATTACTTAGAACATAACAAAGTGACAAGTAGCTTTTACTTATTACGGCTAAATGTAGTCATAAATAACGGCAGTTAGTTAAACAAACCACAAAAATGTGATTTAATGAATAGCTACAGTGGCAAGCAAAAATATTTGTAAGATAGCGTCAAGATTGCGTTAAACATAGTCGAAAGCATACATTTGTAAATGAGAGCGGAAAAGAAGCCGCAAGTCATACCCATTTTTTTTTAATAATTTTTCCGTTACGACGACCCTTGTCGGAGTTCAAACAAGTGATTCTGAAAACAAACAGATGCTGTAAAGCCAATAAGACAAAAAAAACAGTAAAAAAATAAAACCAAATAAAGCAGCGCAAAAACCAAACAATACAATTGAAAAGCTGAAAAACTAGTTTTCGAGTTGAGAACATCACGGGCTAAACGGACTGGCGGCGGCAGGCTCGACTTATGGTCAACGCTGTAACAGTTAAGAGAGCGCGCGTCATCATCGAGCGAAGCTCAAGGTCATGCCACAATGCAATGCAATTGTCATGACCAACAACGTTTACCCAGCGGCCAGTGATTAAGAACAGCAGGCGAATGGGTAATAAAATGAAGTTACAGCTTTTGAATTTGGAATTTTTTTTTCATTAGCTACAAATTGACCACGACCGATACGAGGTAGGTGATTGTCAAGGATGAATTGCGAAAAATCCCAGTCTACAGAATAAGGAAGTCGATAAGCTAAAGCAAGCATGTACATATGTATGTAAGAATTTTTATGCAGTCATAAACTAGTTAAGAATTAAGAACAAAAAGATTAAAAAAACATATAGGAAACAGTATGTAAAGTCAGGATCTGTCGCAATTTAATACCTGCCAATTCTTAAGAAAAGTGAAAGGCGCCTAATTAGTTATGGAAGTGGAAAGAAGCTTATAGTCAATATATGTATACTGACACTTACCTAGGAACGCAAACGGAATGGAAAAGTCCATAATGACGTAGCACATGTATGAGTTCCGGTGCCGTTCGAAAAGCGCCCATAATACTGAACATGGCGAGCATTGTATTCCAGATGATTAATAGACCGCGTAGTTGGAATCTGAAAAGAAGAATAAACAGTTCAATTATATAGATCAATGTACCATATCCAAATTTTTTATAAGTATAAGAATATAAACACATTAGGGCGGATCAATATTTTTTTTACTATGCGCGTATAGCATATTAGGATTGTATGTAAAGTTCTAAGCAAATTTACCGAAGAAACCATTGGTCTAAAATCAATTTGGAGTATGCCAAATGGCGAAAATAGGTTCCCAAAAAAATGTGAAAATTTTCACTCTTGAGCCCTCTGGTGGAAGTTTTAAGAAAAAGATAAGTCCAGAAATGGTTTGCTTATACTAAAATAAAACTTAAAAAAACAAGTAAGAAAGTCTAAGTTCGGGCGGAGCCGAACATTAAATACCCGGCGCACGTATTAAATATATGTTTTCCACATTTCCGAAAGCTACCGCTACATGATAAGCCGGGGTGTATAAATTTTAAGTAAATTAGCGTCCTTAGATTTCGAAATTTTGAAGTTTCAAGCAGTTCTGAAATTTACCGCTATATGAAAAGCGGCCTCAATTTTAGTCCACTTTCAATAATTTTCAACGTTTTGCTTTTATGTGGTACAAATTGGTAGAACGGTTACCGAGATAGATATATGTGATCATAAGTGGGCGGCGCCACGCCCATTTTCCAAAACTTTATCACAAGCGTGTTTCTTGGTTAAGAGTTGTTGCAAGCATCAATTTTGAATAAATTGGCTTTAATATTTACTGATTTATCGAAGATTTTGTATTTCTCTAAATTACCGTTATATGGGATGTGGGCGTAGTTATTGTCCGATTTTAAAAATTGGTATGTTGTGCGAAGGCCAACACCGTGCCAAGTTTGGAAGAAATTGGTGCAGCGGTTACTAAGATATAAACATGTAACCATAAGTGGGGGTGGCTACGCCCATTTTCCTAAAATTTATAATATTCTTATTTTTCGTCTAAAACTTATTGTAAATATCAATTTAGAGTGAATAATCTCCAGTAGTTACTAAAATATCGCAGTTTTCGTATTTCTGAAAATTACCGTTATATGGGAAGTGGGCGTGGTTACAGTCCGATTTCGCCCATTTTCAATACCAACCTACCTTGGATAAATGGAAACCTACATACAAAATTTCGTTGAGATATCTCAATTTTTGCTCGAGTTATCGTGTACACGGACGGGCGGACAGACGGACAGACGGACGGGCAGACAGACATGGCTTAATCGATTTCTCTTTTCATTCTGATCATTTATGTATACATTTGTCTATATCTATCTCGATTCGTTTTGGCTGTTACAAACAACCGTTATGTGAACAAAATTAATATACCCTTGTGCACTCGTATATAGTGCGCTCGGGTATAAAAAAATAAGCATTTCTTTACGACACTACAGCAAAATGCCAAGAAACCTATTTTCGCAGTTTGGCAAACTCCAAATTGATGTTAAACCCATGGTTTCTTCGGAAAATTTACTTCGAATTACGGGTAGAATCCTTCTGTGCTATACGCGCATAGTCGAAAAAACCTGCCATACAAATTGAGCCGCCCTAATATACATACATCTACAAATAAACTTATTTACATAGGGGGTATTGACAATTGTCCATCGTCACGGGTGGAACATTTGTATAGCAACAATTTTCTTTCCTTTCTAATTTTAAGTATAAAATAAATACTCAGCAAATCTATATTTCGATAAAGACACACCTAATTCACAAAGGATGTCAACACTTTGTATGAATTTCAGTAGAAATTTATGCCCTACTTTTGAGATATCCTTTAACTTCTCGAATTGATGGGCTGCTAAGTATTTTAGTGGTGGTTTTAAAGGCGCAGGACATCGGCAGAGAGGATGCTCCAAGGTTTCTCTCGTTTCCCGCTCACGACACTTCCTGCACCTATCCACGCTAGTGATGCCCATTTTTTGAGCATGAGCAGCCACCAGGATCAGTTTTGCCCCCTACATATTTCTCCCCTACCTAGAAACGTACCAAAACGCTTTTGAGAGTACCAAGATTTTTTTTTTGCAGTAATATAAAACGGGGTTTTTCTTATTTAATACAGCAAATCGACGGCTTTGTGATAACTTTCGCGTATTGACGATTTAATTGTACTGAAGATTGTTTTAATTATTGCAATTTTAGTTGGCGAATAAAAATATAATAGTGGTATTCATCTAAACCGATAACTTTATCAAGCAGATATTATTATAAATTTAAGCACTACATGAACGGCCCATACTCTAGTCGTGTTTTCTTTGGTTATCGTGTTCAGTATCAGTAATTTTATACTACTAGCACGAGGATTAAGAAATTTTAGAAATGACCTCGCTAAGTGAGAAAAAATTATATTTAGACGAGATAATATTCATTTAAATAAATATTTATCATAAAGGCGATTTATTTGTAGCAAGTTAAAAGAAACCATGGCAGAATGTCTGTTTGTGTAGGAATTCATTTGTCACTGCTACCAAACTGTGCGACCAAATTATCAGTGAAACAAAACAAACAGAACGGATCATAAATTGAACCAGATCGCTATCAGGATCATATCGTTGTTGTTAATTTGCGTGCAAAATTTTTATGCGGAACCCGCTTATTGCCTAAGAAAACACAGCGGCTGTTTCGACAGAGTAGCATTGGCTTCAGTTTATCAAGTTTATTCAGTGAAATTGTTGGAGAAATTTAACAGAAGTGCGTAAACGAGTTTCCATACAAATTTTGACAGTTAATTTATAGGGTTTACACAATTATTAGTTTATACGGTTTATAATGCATTTATAAGGTTTGATGAATACCCTTAATATAGAAAAATTAAAAACGACACATGAAAAAATAAAAAAATATTGCTTTTTCAGAGCTACCGCTTTTATGGAAAAGGCACCAAAATCAAAATCAACGTACCAAATCGTTTTCAGAGCACCAGTTTTGATACGAAAATACTAAAATTGGCCACACTGACCAGGATATGCCCCGTAAGCAATTCCGCAAAACCTTATCGAGACCCTGTGGATAAACAAAGTTGTAGAAAATGCCTATATTTAAAGTAATTTGCTTTATAAGGAAAAACAGCACCGGAAATTATTAATTCAGCGCAATATAAAAACTATTTTCAACCCAACTAACTTATTTTTTCACCATAAATTACCGTACGCTTTACATATGAAATTAGTGCGTGCAAACAGAAATATGGTGGGAGTTTCGATTATGAATAACATGTGTTCAAAATTAAATTGCCGCTTGACCGAATGCAGCCTACTAATTTTGGAATATGTGTAAATAAAAGATGTTAAGAAGAAAACGAGCAGGTAAGAAATCAATATTGAATCGATATGGTGATTAAATCTTTTGAAAAATGTGGCTATGCTTTGTTTTCTCCATCTTTGATAAATATTTATGTAGATGCATGCAATAAAAATATTAGCAGAAAATAAATTTATGAACATCTACTATTTATAATATATATATATATCGTATATTGACCTATACAAACGCACACACTAATGTTGTTTTTTTTTTTGATATGCATACATTAAACGCTGACACCAAAAAGTTTGCGCAAAAATTGGCAACAAGAAAAAAGCTGCAACAACTTAAATTAAAACGGAATGATCAAAAAGGTAGCCAAAGCAACAAAAAAAAAACACCCTAAGCTATAAAAATTAACGACAACCAACAACAAAGCTATAGCGCGCCATAAAACAGTTGCAAATTTTATGGATTTGGAAATAAATATAATGAATAACTGTAAATGTGAATGTGAAATGACCAACTGTTATATAAAAACATAATTAATTTTTTTCTTTTAATACATACCCTGCGGGAAGTGATGTTTGCATAAATCTAACTTTAAACTGTATATATATATATATATATATATATAAACTAACTTTAAACTGTTTACGCAAACACTAGAGCTGGATTCCGCTGCATTAGGAGTCAACCATTTTTTAACTAACTACTTTTGGACATAAAATGTTGATAAGAAAAAATTAACGTATTTTTCATTTTTTACATGTTTATTTTTCTACTGTATTTAACATAACATATTTTTTTTTTTTTTTTGTAGAAAGCATCGCCTGGATGAAAGATTATTTTAAGATAATATGCATTTAAAAAAGATTTTTTTGATATTACCTTTAGTTTCCGAGATATTGCAATTCACTACCGAGTGAAATTCAACCAAAGCCACTTTGAATTCAAGTTGAATGAAAGTTGATTTCCACCAAGCCTTCACTGCAGTTTATGCTGTTTGAAAAACGAAGATTATAACTCGAAGGGGGTAATTGCTCTTGCCGATAACCCCATGTTGGAATTATTTGAACTTCTCTGAGCTCTTAACTGCAGTTAAGCCTTTGGTGGAAATCTATATATATAAAAAGAAGTTACATTTCCTTGGTAATCTTATAAATCAAGAACCGCCGAACCGATTCCCACGGTTTTGCATTCGTTGGAAAGCGATCGGGCTCCGTGAGGTTTGTAGCAAAGAAAATTTTTAAAAAATAACTAGGGTCTCGAGATATAGACCAAAACGTGGACCTGGGTAACCTTGGGTGTATTTGTTCAATATGGGTATCAAATGAAAGCTGTTCATGAATGCTTTAAGATAGAGCACTTTTCATATAGCTGGGTGACTAGGGTCTCGAGATACAGACCAAAACGTGGACCCGGGTAACCTTAGGATGTATTTGTTTAATATGGGTATCAAATTAAAGCTGTTCATGAATGCTTTAAGATAGAGCACTTTTCATATAGCTGGGTGACTAGGGTCTCGAGATATAGACCAAAACGTGGACCTGGGTAACCTTGGGTGTATTTGTTCAATATGGGTATCAAATGAAAGCCGTTCATGAATGCTTTAAGATTGAGCACTTTTCATATAGCTGGGTGACTAGGGTCTCGAGATACAGACCAAAACGTGGACCCGGGTAAACTTAGGCTGTATTTGTTTAATATGGGCATAAAATGAAAGCTGTTATGTCAAAAATATGCGGAAGCAAATAAAAAAAAAATTA